AGACAAGCTCCTAGCAGCATCACCCAAGGGAATCTGCCACAAAGTCTTCCTTGTCCTGTTCCTATTAGCAAGCAGATGTAGATGGCAAGGCAGGGATCTCAAGAGTTCATGATTCAGCTGCTGAAGATCTAAGGAGAGTCCTTCAATATTTAATTCCAAATCCAATATTCATTTCATGTTCCAAACGATTAGGCATTAGCAGAACAAGAACAGCACCGAGACAGCTTGTTTGAAGAAAGACCCATAAACTCTTTAAAAAAAAAGACAACTATAAAAATTAAAGATAAATTCCAAGGGTACATCTAAATGTCAACGTGGGAGCTGTTATCTGTATGCATATGTTCTCTGCGATGGGTACTTTTAATAGGTTATGGCAAAGGATGGCATGCTAGCATTGCTCTAGTTAAAGATCTGCTAGCAATTTCTTTTCAGGGGAGCCCTCTATCAAGGTTATGTGGATGACAATCATGAGACTGATCAGGGTGCCAACCACTGGCTATCATGCTGGGCATCTTTCCTCCCGCTCGGTATGGTGGGAGAAACCCCTCCGTGGCTTAATTAGTTAGACAGCTCTTTGTGGAGATTTGAAATCCGAAATGACAGACTGAGTCCTTAAAGTATGTCCCTGCTGATTTTGTTTTGGAGGAAAAGAAAAGATTTATAGAGGATATCTTTGTATTTTTAATACCACTAAACCATTGGTTTCAGACGCAACAACTAAAATCTGTCCACATATTACATACTTCTGTGCATTTGTAAAATCTTGCTTGCCGTACATCCATGTGAAAAACGTATAAAATATCCATGAACAAAATCCCATTCAGATTTAAAAGATGTTTGGCTTTTACAGACACACCTTCTGCTCTGCTAAATTGAACGTTTGCTGTCCGCTCGGTCCAGTTTACAACAGACAGTTCAGCTTTACTGGTTTTTAAGTAATAGTTGGAAGAGATCTTGTATCTTCGGAAAGGAGATCTCTCACCTTGAAACCATCAATAGCAAAATCATGACAGACAAAGAGCAAGAGATGGGAGATAAAGCTGAATATCAGTGCATGACCTTGAACGAGCCAAGATGCGGCTTGCTCCTCACAGTGATTGTTGATTTTTTTTTCAATGCACTGAAGAACTAGCATTGAGGAAACCAGGTTAAACTTACTTGCATTAACATTCCAGAACCTGGGAGTCACACTGAAGAAAATCTTGCTTTTTGTCCTCATCCATTTTGGCATGGAATACTGTTCCAGATAATCCTTGACTTACAGCAGTTAAGTGATTGTTCGAAGCTACAATATCCACTGGGAAAAAAGTGACTTATGACTGTTTTTCACACTTATGACCATGATAGCATCCCCATGGTCACATGGTGAAAACTCAGATGCTGCGCAATCGACTCATATTTATGACGGTTGCAATATCCCGGGGTCACATGACCCCCTTTTGCAACCTTCTGACAAGCATAGTCAATGGGGAATCCAGATTCACTTAACAACTGTATTACCAATTTAACAACTGCAGTGTTTCATTTAACAACTGTGGCAAGAAAAAGTTGGAAAATGGGACAAAACTCACTTAACAAATGATTTACTCAGCAACGGAAATTTTGGGCTCAGTTGTGATCATAAGTCGAGGACTGCCTTTACTGATCTGTTACCACCACGAAATAAATTCATATTTAAGGTAGTCTTCAAAATTAATATTGAGTAGAAATCAGATTTTATCCCTGAGTTACAAATTTGAATATTCCCATTAGATATTCTTGGTTAAGTATGTGCATTTAGATCATTAGGTTTTCTTTTCTTTTCCTTTCCTTTTTTTTTTTTTTTTTTAAAAAAAAGCTTCTCCAATTTATAATCTCTGTAGCTTGATCCAAGACATGTAACTTACTTCAACTATTAGGCTCAGAATGAACAAGAGAAATGGCAGATAGTGATATATAAGATCTCAAGAGGCTTCTGACAAATTCTCACGATTATTGGCACAATTTCTCTGCTCTGCTCCCAGAAGGGAAATAGATTCTATGGCAGTTGAAATGTGTATTATTAAACTCTTTAAGCGATCCAGAATGTTTCCCAATAGGCATCAAATTTTTTTCTAAGTATAGCAGAGTTGAAATTCTTAGGTCTAAGTCTTTCCCATTCAGCCCCCATTTGGTTCCATCCAACAATCTTTAAACTGGCCCATCATTATTCCATTAAAATAAATCAAAATCCATGTCACCAGAGCCTATCACGGCTACGTAGGGTACTTCCATTCTGTTCTGCTAAAGTCAGCCAGATGGGAAAATCTGAGGCCAGACAAAAAAGCTGAATTGGCACCAGGTTTAATTTCACATTCCAACACAGCAAAGTTGCAATGCTAAAGGGTTTTGCTCACTATGCTGTGACCATTTCCAGTTTGCACCTCCTGGAGCTCATTTTTTTTGGGGTGGGGTAGTGAGAAGCTGTACTTTGATTAAAAGAAGATAAGCTATCTTTCAATTATGAAAGGTTATCATTATCAGAATTTTTGCAGCCGAAGACAATAAAGTCATTGTGTTATATGTTATCTTGTGCAAAAAAATTCAGAAATCCACAATGAACTACCAATTTATTTATTTATTTTTAAAAAAAAGAAAAAGCAGATGAATGGAGAAATGCAGTGGAATAGATTTCCAAAAAACTTCAAGAAACTAACATGGGTCAGAAATGGTTGGGCATTCTCTTTGGCCAAGTGCACCCTAATGGCCCTAATAATGGCAGGCAGAAGATTGCAAACTGTCTGTCATTTTGAATTTCTCTTACTAATGAGGAATGGAGCAAGATGGACAAGTTGAAGTAGGCAAATTACCAACTATTTGGATAAATAAAGATTCCCTTGAGTTGAGTTCTTCTCTTGATGACTCCATGGAATCTTTTTGTAGTTTTCTTGGAAGCTGCACTAAAGTGGTTTGCCTCCTCATGAGATGATTGTCCAACTTCCCATCTATTCTACAACTCTGAGATCCCTGATAGTCTTCTGGAAGCCATCTTTGGAGATGGCATTGTCATTGGTTCTATCCAACCAAATTAAACTATGAATATTTGGAGACCTCTTGAGAAATATGGGTGTGGACCACTTTATTGATGTAGAGTGAGTGCAGTAGTTGTTCTCTAAATAAATTTATGTGTCCTCCAGGCAAAATATCATCCTGTGGAAGGCATCTCTTATGATCATCAACTGTGATGATCTGATCCCCCTTGCTTAAATCATTTTGTAAGGGGGTTTTTTGGTTTTTCCCTGACTTCATTTTTTTTCTGTCCAAAGCCACATCTGCAGTTGTATTGAACACCAAAGTACCAATTTGATGCAAAGGGAAAATAAAACCAGTGATCTTCTCCAGGATTTGCTCTTCACTGTGTAAACCTCTACATTAGACTCTTTTAGTCCTTCTGAGACATCAAGCGGGAGCAGAATTAGAGAAGAAGTTCTACATTACAAGATAATGTAGTTCCTTTTGGGTGACCAAGATGGTTCTTTAAGGATTATTCATTGCTAAGCAGCAATACTGTAATCCCAAACAGTGTTAATTGTCCACATGATCTATTTTATCATTTCTTGCTCAACAAAGTTGATATTTGATTGGATTTGATTGGATATATTTGATTGATTGGATTTGTTTAGGCTGAAAAAGTTGGGCAACTGACAATATATCTAATCAGCATCTTGACTTGCCCCCAGAATGCCAGCCCTTTTAGATATACCAGTCTAGGAAACCAAAGTTAGGAACGCTAATACTAATTTTATTAAAAAGTTACAATAAAAGAATCTTGCAAGTTTGAATACTTGCAAGTGACTGTCAGGTTGGTTACCCCTCAAGGAAGTCTAGATAAGAAACCAAAATCATGAAAATGAATTCTATCTTTATTGTAAGTTACAGTAACAGATTCTTGCAAGCACTTCTCTCCTTCCCGGCCTTTACTTTCCAGAGATCTGGATCCTTCTGAGATGCTTTGGATTTTGATTTCTCTTATCAAACTATTGTCTAGGCTGTGGCTCTTCCTTCTATCTCCCAAGGTTATTCTCACAGTGGATTACAAGTGTCATACACTTCTTAAAATTAAGCTTCTGTCTCAGACTGAAATTTCTTCTATCTGATGATTGCCTTGATTGTGATTTATCCTCTTATTCCTCAAGGTTATTTCTGCTCCCCATTATGCAGAAGCTGACTGGCAACCAATGCAAGTTAGGTAGCAGTGATGACACATGGGCATAATTAGAAGCACCTATTACTGTTCACATTGTTACATTTTGAACCATCTGCAGCTTCCAGATGGCCTTCAAGGGCAGCTCCATGCAAAACACATTGCCATAGTCCAATTGTGAGGTGCCTAGGGTGTGAATGAGCATCTGAAGGGCTTCCCTGTGTAAGAAAGAGCATCCACAATGCACAAGATAAAATCTCTCCTGGCTATAAGTGTCACCTGCTCTTTGAGCAGTAACTCTGACAAATGTTGAAAAGCTTATTTTCTTCTCTCTCTCTTGATTAGTTAGCTTCTACTATAGATAGATAGATAGGTAGGTAGGTAGGTAGGTAGGTAGGTAGGTAGATAGATAGATAGATAGATAGATAGATAGATAGATAGATAGATAGATAGATAGATAGATAGATAGATAGATAGATAGATAGATAGATAGATAGATAGATAGATAGCTTTTATTGTCATTTTTTACTGTGGGCACAATGGCACACATTAACAATGAAATTTAGTTGCTTGCTCTCAGAGTGAACACATACATAACACAAATTTAAACATACTATATACGACACATGCATAGACCTACACCCTTAACGTATAAGTAACATATACATATTAATCACTGTCCATCTTGAACACATAACGGAAGGAGGAAGCTTTGGAGTTCACAATACTATCCATTCCTTCCTATGTGTGCAGCATTAATGATTGGCTCCTTCCATTATTTCTTTTGCCTCTCCTACCAAAATTTCACCTGTTATTCTTTTCCCGCCCTCTTTTTCAGCTTTAAATGAGCCAACCATAGACTATGGTTTCCAAAGACTCCAGAAAGTCATCCCAAGACATCCTGGCGATCCAGAGCGACTAGCCAAGGTAAAGCTCCCTTCCTCACCTGTTGACTTCATTCACCTAACCAGATAAAAGATAACGGCTGCATTGGTCCGGCCTGCCGAATCACAAATCAATGTCCCACGTTTGATTCTAAGCATGGTTTACCCAACTCTGGTCTGTATAGCCGATTTAGGCACAGTACAGGTAGTCCTCGACTTATGAACACGATTGGGTCCAAAATTTCTGTCGTTAAGCTCGGCAGTTAAGTGAATTTTGCCCCATTTTATGACTTTTCTTGCCCCAGTTGTGAATCCCTGCAGTTGTTAAGTTAGTAGTGAGTCTGTCTTCCCTATTGACCTTGCTTATCAACAGGGAAGTCAGATAACCCCAACTGGAAGCCAGATTGCAGTGGGCCACTGCAACCGTCATAAATTTGAGTCTGTTACCAAGCATCTGTATTTTGATCACGTGACCGTGGGGATGCTGCAAGTGTGAAAAATGCTCCTAAGTAATTTTGTCAGTGCTGTTGTAGCTTCGAATGGTCCCTAAACAAATAGTTCTACGCCGAGGACTACCTGCACAGTGAAGGTCAGCCCCCCAATAGGTTCAGTATATTGTGAGTTTATTTACTTATTAAACACATTTCTGTGTTGCCACCATCCAAAGAGACACTCAGTGGCTTGCACAGAACAGATGCTGGTTGAAACATCCACAATGGGAATAAAACAAGTCTAAACTCAATAAAAATAAAGGCCAAACAGCACGCAATATAAGCTGAATGGAACTGACGAAAACAAAAATGAAATAATTGAGTAAAAATCACGGCTGGCTCTGGGCAGACTCATGATATGAACGGATGGCGTTTGGTTTGGTTTGGTTTGGTTTAACACGGTGTTTGTAAACCATGATTCACGGCTTAGCACAGTGGTGGCGAACCTATGGCACGGGTGCCAGAGGTGGCACTCAGAGCCCTCTTTGTGGGCACGCGCACCGACGCCCCAGTCCTAGGCCTTCAGCTGGGTTTTATAAAACCTTTTCGCTTTAGGCCTCCGCCGACATGTGCAAAAAAAAAAAAAAAAAGGTTCAATCAGTCAATTTCAACTTCTCGCAGGGAAAAAAAAGATCTTGCAAAGTTGGAATTGATTGATTGAACTTTTTAGTCCCACCCAGTCTGCCATTACCACTGCAGCCACGCCCACCCAATTGGCCACGCCCACCCAATGGGCCACACCCACCCGGCACCCGACGATGCATAAGTGGGTTTTGGGTTGCAGTTTGGGCACTCGGTCTCTAAAAGGTTCGCCATCACTGGCTTAGCATGTTCAGAGCATGATTGAATTAAGGAAGCCTGGTTAAGTGTGCCCTTCCCTCTATTGGATTTCATGGCAAAAAGCTACTGGGAGTGCATAAACAGAATGGTGAGGTATGAATTTCTAATAAATAATATTTTTTAAAAAAAACACTAGTTGTTTCTGGCATTTGTCCTGCTTGATTTCATTTGTCCTGCTTGTTGGTTTCACACTGTGCTTGCCTAGTCCTTACCGCCACATTTTTCAATGACGCATGACACATCCTTGGTTCTCCTTCCTTTCTGCTTGCAGGAGATGCTTTTGAAGCGAGCAGCTGACCTAGTCGAAGCACTGTACGGGACACCACATAACAATCAGGTTAGAGTTCCTCTCTTTTTCTCCTGTGAACGTGTAAAGAAGGTGTTGTGTTTGCAGCTTCTCCCGAGTCACCTTTTCACCTGACCTACTTGAGTGGAACTGATGAGGCTTAAAGCTCCATTAAAACTCCTCCACCATTCTACCCCGGGAGGGTCTTTCTCATGCTTGTACAGAATTTATCTGCCACTCCAGTCCATTAATCCATTCAGAGAAGACCGTTGCTTCTTCCTCCAAACTCTGTTGCTGAGGATGGGCGTACAACCCGCTAGTTCTGTTCCTCCTCCATCATCCCGCTTGATGAAATTTCTAGCGTGCTGTTAGTCTTCGCCTCTATTGGATTGGTTTATTGCTATTTGGTCACCACGATGTAAAAAAGATGTTGAGAGCCTAGAAAGAGTACAGAGAAGAGCAACAAAGATGATTAGGGGACTGGAAGCTAAAGCATATAAGGAACGGTTGCTAGAATTGGGTATGTCTAGTTTAGTGAAGGGAAGGATGAGGGGGGACATGATAGCAGGGTTCCAATATCTCAGGGGCTGCCCCAAAGAAGAGGGAGTCAAGCTATTCTCCAAAGCACCTGAAGGCAGGACAAGAAGCAACGGATGGGAACTAATCAAGGAGAGAAGCAACCTAGAACTAAGGAGAAACTTCCTGACAGTTAGAACAATTAATTGGTGGGACAACCTGCAAACAGAGAAGGCTGGCTTCTACAGGAACTTCTAAAAAGTTCTATGCACATTTTTTAAAAGCTTGCAATTTTGGAGACCTTACTTTATCCCATTCTTGCTTTCTTTGCCTTTAATCTACCGGTTTTTCTAGCCTTCTTTTTCTGTGATATTTATTCGTTCATTCTTCCTCTCTGCCTCCCATTCTGTGCCCTCCCAAAACAGGGACAGATAACACCTGTTAGAGTTCTTAAGTGTCAGTATCCGGAGGGCTTTTAGGTTGTTATGTTTGCTGCTTTAAGACTAGGTATTGCTCACTTAGGCTCTAGGTGAGGATTGAGTGGTATTTTTTTTTTCTACATTTCTCATCAGGGTGACTTTATTTATTTATATTTCATGTTTCTAGCCTGCTCATCTCCCTCAAGGAGAGCTTTTTCAGATGTCAAAGGTTGATGGAGTTGAGGCAAGTGAGGGGAGTTCCCTTTTTTTCTCATTCTGGCATCTCCTCCTTTATCCTCCATTATCTTTCCTTCTGATACCCTTTTCTCTCTTGGTCTTCCACTGCACAGAGAGGCAGAACAGAAAGGAACAGTTTACTCTTTACGGTATGAAACCGTTGAGGAAGAGGGCTTGAAATTAGCCAGTTAGCCAAGTATAATTAGTCTGAGAGCCTGTTTGAACTGAAATCTTAGAAATTAGAAATAACAGCAGCAGCAGCAGACCTGATCTTGATATTTTCCTACCTATCTTACCTGGTCCCTCTCCATCTCAAGACACATGTTTGCTGAACATCTGGGGAGGACTTCTTTCTTCTTCTTTTTAAATCTGTAAAGCCAATCAGTCCACCTGGAATAAAATTTATGCTGATTTTTTTTTCTTGTTTGTTTGTTTATTTGTTTCAGGACATTATTCTGAAGCGAGCTGCTGATATTGCAGAAGCTCTCTACAGTGTCCCAAGAAATCCAGGTCAGATCCCTGCTTTGTCTAGCTCTCCTGCTCACAGTGCCATGATGGGCATCAACTCCTATGGCAGCCAGTTGGGAGTCAGCATCTCTGAGTCCACACAAGGGAATAATCAAGGTAAAAGTGCTGAACTGAAAGGTACACAATGAATGGAGGTTTTGCTTCAAGAAGATGATGGCCAGAAACTGATGTTATTAATTACTAGGACCCTCATAAAAATATATTTTCTTTACTTATACACAGTCATTGATTCCAATATCATTCAGATCTGGTCACCACAATAAAAAAAAAAAGAAGCTGTTGAGACTCCAAAAAGAGTGCAGAGAAAAGCAACAAAGATGATAAGGGGCCTGGGGGCTAAATCCCTACAAAGAACGATCGACATTCCAGTACTTAATTCCAGCAACCTGGAATTAAGGAGAAACTTCCTGACAGTGAGGACAATTAACCAGTGGAACAGCTTGCCTCCAGAAATCATGGGTGCTCCATCACTGGAGATTTTTAAGAAGAGGCTAGACAGTTATTTGTCTGAGATGGTATAGGTTCTCCTGCTTGAGCAGGGGGCTGGACTAGAAGACCTCCAAGGTCCTTTCCAAATTCTATTCTATTCTATTCTACTCTACTCTACTCTACTCTACTCTACTCTACTCTACTCTACTCTACTCTACTCTACTCTACTCTACTCTACTCTACTCTACTTGAGGGGCACTTACAGAAAAGAGAGGGTTGAATTATTTTCCAAAGCACCTGAGGGCAGGTCCAGAAGTCATGGATGGAAATGTATCAAAGAGACATCCAACCTAGGACATTTTTAGGTTTTTAAGAAGAGATTGGACAGCCATTTGTTCGGAATGATATACGTTCTCCTGCTTGTGCAGAGTGTTGGATTAGAATGCCTCCAAGGTCCCTAGAAATATGCCAGATCAGAAGACAGTCCTTAAATTAAAAATAAACATAGAGAAGAAATAGTAGAAGCCTAAAAACCTTACTCAGGATCATAATACAGAATAACAAAGTTGGAAGGCTTCCAAGGTCCCTTCCAAGTTAATACCCACCCACCTACTCACCTTCAATTTACTGTTAGGGAAAATAATTTTCTCCTATGCTAATTATTCATGGTAATTAAAGCTTGCGTTTTACATCCTGAATCTTTCTCCAGACACAATGGCACAAATAGGTTTTCTGAACAAACTGGATGATGATGCTATTCTGAAATACTTTTAATTTTCTTCTAAAACATTCCCTGTTCATAGCCTTAACCATCTCTGTCGCTCACATGTACCGTGCTACATAGATTCATTTCTCTCTCTTCCAATTTCCAAACGGTTTACCTTTTAAAATCCATCCTTTGTGGGGAAAAAAAAAAAGAATTAACCACGAATCTCTGCCGAAAACCCCAGGAAGGTGCAGCCTTGACCACAATTTGCAGCAAATCCCATATTAAAGTTATAAATATTCAAAACACAAGTGTGCTGATTTTTTCCAGATCTTGAAACAACACCCTTTCACATTCTTTCAACATGCAGATCTGATTGGCAAAATGTACATATGTTGTCAAACAAAGGGAAGGGCTTGTCAACTAGTGGAACTTGCTTAAGGGTGAGACGCTGTCATAGATCTTTAGAGAGGATCTTATATTTTATCCTGCAAAACAGTATTTGTGGAGTTAGTAGTAGCATCAGCACACTCGTGTTAACGTTAAAAGACAAACCCTTAGTCTTGCAATTAATCATCCGAAGACTCTGATCGTAGAGAGAAATGTAAAATTATACAGAATTAAAGAAGGTTTTTAAATACGTCTATAAAATAAATCCTGAATGGATTTATAGTCTCTCAAAGTGGATGTGATTTACCCAGCAATATCTACCACACTGTGAAAGGGTGTTTAATTCAAAGTATCTGCTGTATCCTTTTGAAAATATATCATAGCTCAACCGCTGCTTTCAGATACGCATCTTAGCTACACATAGTAAGAGAGGTTTTGGAAGATTGCAGACCAACCATTAGCACATCATTCTATGCAATTTTTGACAATAATAATTTTACCAATAGAAGAGAATATTTGTAGCTCAGGGTTGAATTATGGAGTCCTTGATACTATCTGAGCTTCATCATTTGCCTGCAGATGTTTTATTACCCAACTAGGTAACATCATCAGTTTTAAAAATGCATACACGTATGGTTGCGTACACATCAAATAATAGAAGATTCCTAATATGTCATCCTTATTTGATAAAACAAATATTTGGAGTAGTGAAGCAGCTTAGAAGAGGTCACTTTCTAAAGATAAACTTTATTTTCTGTTGCTCTGCTTGGCAAAACCAGAACTGGAGGTTGTTGGGTGTAAGCTTAAGTAAGACTTCCCAATAGTAGAAGTTATTTGACTATCAAACAATTTATTCTCGATTTGGCGAGGTTGCCCTTTTTCTTTCATGATTGGACAAGAAGATGTCAGCCTACATTATGCATCTTGCACTGGAAAAAGAGCTGGACTAGGTGATAACCAAACTCCCCAAATGTTTTTGAACTCTGGAATTCTATCTTTCACTTCATAAGATGAACTATTTGTTGTTGTTCAGTCACTAAGTTTCTGGGACTTAACTGAAGTGTGAGGAACCAGGGAGGCTGAGGACTGCTGGAATGAGGATTGTATAATTAAAAAAAAAATGTAGCATTCACACACACTTCTCAGCCATCTGGTAACTGAATAAGAATGCCGTAGTCCACCCCTGAGAATTAAATTGAAATTCTTTTCTCCTTTGGAAAAGAGTGAAAGTAAACCCTCACATTATTTCCTTTCCATTCTATTTAGATCAACGAACCTAGAAGAATTATTATTTTTTCATCGTTATTTAGGATTTTGATTCCAGGGGAAATGTTATTTTGTTGTACACTTGGCCATTTTTTCATGGTATTTTTCCTCTCTATAACTTCTTTTGTGTGTGTGTGTATTTTGTACAAACTTCCAAAGGGGGGGGGAGAGGAAAGGAAATATAAAAGTGAAACAAAACTAGACAAGACAAATAAACAGAAAATAATGTGCATAAAAAGGAAAAACAAAATAAACAAGTACATAAATCCCCCCCCAACTGAATAATGATAAATATATTTCAAAAACAATAAACAATCCCCCCTTGCAAAGCAGGCACACAGTTTATAAATTTCTAAAACACTATGCCCATTTACCCAAGGCATTTGGCCTGACATCTATCTACTATATAGAAAAAAACATAGTTAAAAGATAAAATCAACAACAAAATTAAACCTCAAAGCCCACTGTTAGCAGCCTATTATTGTATTTCATTTACAGAAAGTCCTGCCTATAAATTTTGAGCTTTAAAAGCTCATTTACCCACTATCTGGATGAAACAAGTAAAATCATTAAGTGTCTCTTCTATTCGTGTCTTCAAATGATGGAAGACTTCTTACATTTGCTTGTATTTAAATGCAGATAATTCTGACGTATAATTGTTCTTTGCATCCTAATTTTACAATGAAGTTTGATCAAACCACGCAGGAAAAATTGCATATGTTTTGGGAACCACTGTACAAAAAGCGCAGGTCTGTTGGGAAAAGGAGAAGATAGAGGAAATGGCATAGAAATGTAGAGACAGGATTACGTGGCGTTATGTGTGAGAGAAGGAGTGGCAAAATCTGGGGACGCAGTGAAAATAGGGATCAGCCTATAATCCCTATGTAGTCACAACCCTCCTTGAGTGCTGTTGATCATTATCTAAGCAGGTTCAGACAATTCTCTTGCATAGGCTATAGCAATAAAGTTTAATTGAATTTCCATTTATTTAAACGGTCTTTTGCACCTAACGTCATGTGAATGCAGAAAGGGAACAGAATCATGTTGTGCATGAAATAATAGTGACAATTAAAAAAAAGTAAAATAAATCTATTCCTGCTCCCCCTCTATAGGGACTCATGGACTCATAACACCTTATCTGATTAAATATCCTGGAAACTCTGATCTCTTAGATGTACAACTTCTATTGTCGGATCAGTATGATTCAATTTTTCTGAACGTAGCTAAGTTTTGTTACACTGTCTGTAACGTTAGGCAGACCTTGGCCACCCACTGAATATTCCACCATCTATTGTAATACATTACTATAGGTCTTGTTCTGTTTGGTTCTGTTTAGATCTGCTTTATTTTAATGTTTAATTTTTGTGCTGGTCTGTGACTGTAGTAAAGATTGAATGAAAGAATGAACGAATCTATTCCTGATCCAGATGACTGAAGAGCGCATGTCTAAGAGAGACCATCCTGTTATCCTTATTGATGGACACTCAGTGCATGTTTATTTCTTGCAGGCTACATCCGCAACACAAGCAGCATATCCCCACGAGGTTACTCCTCCAGCACGACCCCTCAGCAGTCTAATTACAGCACCCCCAGTAACAGCATGAACGGCTACAGCAACGTCCCTATGTCCAATCTGGCTGTTCCCACTTCACCTGGATTTATTAACGGTTCTCCCACAGGATCGCCCTATGGCTGTGAGTCGCTTCCTTCTCTTCTCTTCCTCCAGCTCCACCTGACCTTGGGCCTGACATAAGTTAAGAGGCAATCTGTCAGAAAATGTTTATTTCCTTTCTTTGGGTCATCTGCCAGAAAGTGCCTCAACCTGGTCATTAGACAGTTAAGCCCAAAAAATTCTGCGGAGCAAGCCTCCAAGAACACAGGACTGCTTTTGTCAACTGTTTGTGGTTATCTGCAACACATGTATTAGCTGTCTCTGTCTCTCTAGAACAGGCAGGTCAAACTCCCGGCCCGTGGACCGGATGCATCATACTGATGCATACCGGCAATGGGGAAAAAGTTGCGATACGTCGTGCGACATCATGTGACGTCACGAGTTTGACATGCCTGCTCTAGAACTTTAGCTGTTGGTCTCCTTCAGCACCGGCAGCTGGGAATCTAATATCTCATCCAAATCCATAGCTTCTGTCTGCCCAGCTTTCCTTTTTAAGCCATGTTCTGATCTCCAATGCCAGGAGTGGCCCACAAGCAGCTTCAAGCCCCAAGTTGTCCACTAGTTGATTTCAGACCTTTAACTATAACAACCTTTTTCGAAGTTGTGTATGGGGAGGGAGGGAAAGAACAGAGAGCATGAGAAGAATGTTCCCAGATGAGAAAGAACAGGAGTATCAAAAGGACAGGAAATACGTAGTCACTGCTTGATTAAGCCTTACCTCTGTTATCATAAATAGCCATCAGCAGTTCTTTCTAAATTATTGTCTCCTTTAATGCAAAATGACTCAGTGTGCAGTTAATGGATTAGATAGATGTAGTTGGATGTTGTGATTTTCCCCACAATGCCTTGGGCTTAGTAGCGGTGGCCCCCTTACAGGAAAGCTGTCGCACTTATGGCTAACTTCTCAGAAAACCACAGTTCCAAGAGAGATCATCAAGAAAGAAGAAGATATTCCAAAGTGCTTTATCCAAACTCTGGTGTCAAGCCACAAGATTTGCAAAAATTCAGATAAATCCCTTAAAAATATCTTTCCCGTGTTAATGTGTATGTTGTGAGGATAGTCCAACATGACTTCCATTGTTCTGTGAAAAGTAGTTCTTCCCTCTTTTAAATTTTTATTGAGGGCTCAGCTGCAAATGAATTTCAGGTTCTTTTTGTTTCCTTGGAGATACCAGAGTAGAATGGGGTAAGAATTGATTAAAACTTTGCTTTTCCTGCAAAGAATACCATGGTCAACACCAGGTCTTATTAAAATAGTAACAGGAGTATCAATAAAGAGACTACAGCTAGTGATACTAGACTTTGCTACCACTATTAACCACATTAAAAAAACATATTATCTGAGTATGCTTTTGGGGGGGGGGAAGAGAGAGAGAGAGAGAGAGAGAGAGAGAGAGAGAGAGAGAGAGAGAGAGAGGGAGAGAGAGGGAGAGAGAGAGAGAGAGAGAAATCTGAAATGTTGATTGCTTTTGCATACAGAGTTTAAAATTGGCCAAACAGATGTTTGCTGGTGTTTTTGCTCCTTCCTTTTTTTTTTTTTTTAAGGAAAGAGAACTTACAAATTCTGCTTCCTGACTGAATTGTGTGTGCCAAGTTTCAGTTCCAGAGAAAATGAAAAACAAAACAAAACAAAACAAAAAACAGCTAAATTATGTATTCCTGACCATCAGAGTTTAGAATGAGATGCTAACAGATCCTTGTGAAAAATAAAATTAAAGAGAATCATTCAGAGTTTGAAAAGATATACAAGCAACGTGAAATACAATGGTGATTCTGCAGCTGTGGCACTCATTTTAACTCAAAATGCAATTTGTTTGCTCATTTTAAATTTGGTCCAGATCTATCAGACCACGTTTCCCACTGTGCCCTACAGAGATGATGGCTCACTTAGAACACATTAAGCTGCTTGAAAATATTTGGTTAGAACAGAGGTCCCCAACTTTTTGGGCACCAGGGACCGGTTCCATGGATAAACGTTTTTCTACGGACCGGAGAGTGTGTGGTTTTGTGTGCTGCCTGCATCCCACGGATGGAGCTTTGCTTGTTTGTGTGGACCGGTTGCTGGCATGCCACGGCCCGGTATCGGTCTACGGTCCAGGGGTTGGGGACCCCTGGGTTAGCAAACTTAACGATCTTGTATTTCACAACATTGTGGACCTCCTCATTTTCCCATGTTTCCTCCCTTCACAGAACTTTCCACTGGTTTAGCTAACCCAGATTAGCTCTTTGGCCTCACCTGTCCTGCTTTGACATGACTCTGTTTGTGGTACATGACTAACAGGAACAAATATTCTTTCCATTCCCTCTTCATGAATTGATCCATGCAGATAGCTTACATTTCAGGACCTGATTCCTGATTATGGAATTTCTCATCTGGTTCCACACACTTTTGTATGTTTTAAGAGAGATTTGAGGACTGCACTTATTTAATAAGTTCATATGGGGCTGAGTATCATCCTTGGAATTAAAGATCTGTTGTGGGACATCCATTTGCTTTGAATGTATGAATGAATGAATGAATGAATGAATGAATGAATGAATGAATGAGTCAGTCGGTCGGTCGGTCGGTCGGTCGGTCGGTCAGTCAGTCAGTCAGTCAGTCAGTCAATAAAATTGAATGATCAGGACTCAAAGAGACTTATAGAATCCATGAAAATTATGGAAGTCCCCATTGGATGCTTCTTAAGGTTGATCTGATTGTGTAAATTTGTGACTGTTTACTTTTCCAAGCCCCTACTTGTTCTAACTCAGGTTGCTATCTCCTCCCTCTCAGTGATGTCTTCAAGCCCCACAATTGGTTCTTCAAGCAGTTCCTCCATCCTTCCATTCTCCTCTTCTGTCTTTCCTGCTGTCAAACAAAAGAGTGCCTTTGCTCCTGTCATCCGACCCCAGGGGTCCCCTTCCCCAGCGTGCTCCACTGGCAATGGAAATGGGTTTAGAGGTAAGCAAACATCTATTTTCTTCACCCGCCATTCTCCCAGAACGTCATCCCTGTATATGTCATAGGTTTTACTTCATAGGTAATGGGGGAGGAGGGGAAGCATGCCTCAACATGGACTTTGCACACCGTTCTAATGTGCAAAGCAATTCCCCTAAAAATGACAGCAGAGTGTAGGACACAGAATTGTACCCACATAATCCTCACCTATCCCATTATCCTTCTTAGGTTTTCCCACAGTCTTTGATTACACAGAAAGCCCGATCCTAACTAACAAAAAAGAATAAAAGAGTAAAAGCAGGAAAGGAAGAAAAAAAAAATTAAAGTCCACAAAGAAAAGTAAAGAGAAAGAGAAGAACGAAACTTCAAATCTCCTTTGCAGCAAATATAAATACAATTACAAAAGTTATCTCTTACTGTGATTACAAAAAAAATAATAATCAGACATTGTAAATGCATTTTGTTCTGTTTTATGCAAAAAAGAGAGTTTCTGGTCAATGATAAATGTAAATACTGTTTTTTTTTCTAATCAAATAAATTAATTTAGCCATCTCCACTAGTTCCTCATCTTTGCCAACTATTTCTCCATTGTGAGTGGTATAAAAAAAATTAAGGTAATTATTCATGAGATGTCAGCTTGCAAGAGCTGCTGTAATAACCAAGACATTTTGTGAATTCCAGTCTTTTCATATCTTGCAAAATCTCAGATCAAAACTTTCTGAAATTTGTGAGCGCAACAATGATTTCATTTCATTTCATTATTGTTTCCCTACAGTATATGCTTCTTAATCCCCCCCAAAGGCTCTGAATCACTTGCAAATAATAAAGTATAAAATAAAAATAATCAACAACTGCGATGAAGACTCCCACCATACCATCAATCCCCAATTCTTTCTGAACAGTTTCTCTTAGGGGTTTTCTTAAGTATTGGGCTGTTCCAAAGTAATGATTTAATACGAATGAATGAATAAATGATCAAACTAATTTGAACTCCCAGAACGTGACATCAGACAACATAATAGCACTTTCAGCTGAGAAAATGTCAATCTCTGTTTTTATTAAAAAAAAACTATGCCATATATTATTTCAAAAGGTCATTACATAAAATGGATGGGAATAAAAAAAATGCTGTTATAGATCATCTAAATTTGATGCACAAGTAACTTTATGAGTGGATGCAGAAATACAACACTTCCATCTGCATTTAAATCACCAGTCAAGTCTTTTCCTTTTTTCTATTTATCTCATTCATTCATTCATTCATTCATTCATTCATAAAAATGATCACATCTTTAATTTTCCTGTCTGTTCTCATCTAGTTTGATTAAAGGGGATTTGATTTAGAAACCTAAGACCAATATTGGCCTACTGGTTGAGTGGTTAAGGCACTAGGCTAAAAAACTGTGAGTTCTAGTCCCACCTTAGGCATGAAAGTTGACTGGGTGACTTTGGCCCAATCACCAGGAGACTGAGAGTTCTAGTTTCACCTTAGGCATGGAACCTGGTTAGGTGACTTTAAGCAAGTTGCGCTCTTTCAGCCTTACCTCATAGGGATCTTGTGTGGAAAACAGGAGGACGAAGGAGTATTAGGTATGTTTGTACCTTAAATTATTTAAAAAGCAGTAAAGGAAGGATAAAAAAATATTTTAACAAAATTGCAATGCAATCTCATGAATATAATCTGGAATTTTTTTGGGGGGGGGCAGAGAATATATGTGAGTACACTTTATTTCACGGCAGTGTCCTCTCTCTCTTCTGCCATCTGACTTCTCATATTTTAATTCAGTTTTCAAAGAAAAGCATCTTGTAAAAAATTGTTTCTCAAACTGGGGAAACCAATGTTGAGAAAAATGTGAGACAGAATCAGCGTCAGATCCTCTACCGCCTCCAACCACAAAGGAAATGTTTAAAAACACCCCCCAAAGAAATTTGAAAGAAATTCTCAAGCCCCTGAAAAATAAGGTAGAAAAACAGAAGTCTTTGGTGGACGAACGCCCATTTTTAGAAATCGGAAGACAGATTTCAATTACGCTGTGCCTTTCCTGCCCTTCCGTCTCCCTACGTCTCCCTTCCCCCATTCAAACAGTCAAAAACATGGAAGGGAGGCAGGGAAACAGAGGGGTATGTTGTGTGACATGCTATAAATTGTATTCTCCAGCAGTACCACATTGGTTTTTTTTTTTTCCCTGCCTCCCCTATTTCAGTCAACAGAACATAAAGCAGTCCATTGACAGAAGTCTGTAGGCATTTCCAAAGATCAGACTTTTGCCAACTGGGTAATATATGTGCCTTGGAGCTTTGTTTCAAAGCTCAGAGGTGACATGATGTGCCTCAGTGCTCACTGTACAGATTGAGCCCGGCAAAACAACACCCAGCAGTTCCCATGCTAGAGATGCTCTTCTGTCAACCTGCCACAGTTGCTTGCCTTCAAGGCTACACTACCTAGCACCCCACCAAATATGATTAGTTCAGAAACACCGGAGAAAGAAGCTTCCAGTTTAAACCCTTGTGGATATATAACAGTTGCTGGCATCTTTGTCTGGTAGTCAACTACTGTGAGCACAGCTTCTTTCTTGCCTGCAATAAAGACCCTAACCCAGCTAAGCCTTCAATGATTCTTCTGCCAAGTGAAGTCAAGACATTGAGCTAAGGATAAAGTGCCAGGCTGTCAATGATTTATTGCTGTGTCCAAGGGCAAAGCTTCCGTTCAGAGAGATGCATCAGAGGGCGATGGAAGAACTTAGCCCTTCTCCGTTGCTTGCTTGAGGGCAAGTGTTATCTGCACATGTGCAGAAAACCATTGCAAGGACCAGAGCTGTGGCCAAAGCAGCTGCTTCAATGTTGAATCAAGTCACTCCAAAGAGGTTTTGCAGGACCCTAAAGATGTAACTTTCTCTAGGCTAAATGACGTGTCAAATTAAATCAAATATTTATTATTGTCATAGACCAGCATCAAGAGAACAGGATAGAGACAATTAAAAAACATAAAAAGTATCATGGGCTAAAATAATAGTAATTTTTAAAAGCTAAAAACATTTTTAAAGGCAAGTATATATATAAGAACAAGAGTCTAAAAAGAACACAAAGGACCATAAAGGTTAATCATTGGTAGACTCTATCAAATTAAAGAGCACTGTAGTAGGATGAACTAAATGCTCATTCAGTCTAGCACATTATCTCTGGGCTAAATAACATGTTTATACTGGGGAGTGGGAGAAAACCTAGAAGCCCAACTCCTGTGGCCATCTCACTTAGTACTACTGACACTGGTGAGCAACATCTTTCCAGAACTCCAGGCAGGAACAGTTCCCACCTTCCTTGTAGATAGGTTTCAACCTGGAACCTTTGGCAATCAAAGTAGGTGGTCTACAAGCATCCTTTAAAAAAAAAAGTTGTGGGTATCCATCTGGATGTAATAAAGTCTCCTCTTTGGTTGGGAAGTTCACAAGTATCTACCAACTTTACCTGGCCTCAGTAGTGATCCAGATGTCTATGTGTTCATCACCCTCCTTTTTTTCTAGCATTGGATCAATCTTTGGTAGTTCAAAGGAGCATAAGACCTAGTGAGGTTACCAGAGTGTTGTGTCCAACCTTCCATCTCCCACCTTGAACATGAGGTAGAAACATGTCTTAGGTCTCTACTCCTCAGTGATTCTAAGTATCCATTTAGAGCAGGGGTGGACACCTAATGGCAACTTTATGACCTGTGGATTTCAACTCCAAGAATTCTTGAGCCAGCATGGTTATAAAGTTATCATTGTTGTCCACCCCCGATTTGGAGCAAAAATCCCAGTCTTCTTCAGAATCATAAGGCTGGGGAAAGGCAGACCATGCTATTGTTTAGCTCCAGACATGGGGCTCTTCACACATGCTCGAACTGAGCTGAGCATACCCTAGGACAAACTTAGTCAATGAAATTATGGATTTTTGCATTCTAAGAATCAATCGAGGTCAACGATTTCATTGTTTAGCCCTGCTAATATGTAAAAACTGATAGTAGTTGCATGTCATTGAATATCCTTTCTGGAGAGACAAGAGAAGACAACAGCATGAAAGGTCATCCGCATTCAAGACCTCTTTGCTAGCTTTCTAGAGACACCTCCTAACTAACCAATGTGTGAAGAGGATGCTGGACTAGATAAACCAGTCTGGATTTCCACCTGTTCTGCATAGTATTTGCATGCTTTTATTACCAATCCTTAATGAAGAATGTGCTGCTTGATGGGAGGAAACCCACTTAAAACTTGGTTCCCTGAGTGGTGTTGGGAAAGACATGGGGATACCCTTAGATAACCTCTCTAGGGCCATGTGGTCCTGCTTTTTACTCCCTGCATGCCATCTGCTCTACTTTTTCGCTCTGCAGCCAGGCGAGGTAGGTAGGAACAGTAGGGCCTCGTCTTTGTCAGCAACCCCAAATTGATTGCAGGTGGCCTGATCGGAGAAGCCTGGCATTGATTTTGTGTTGGATGTTGAGCCTGCTTAAAAGTAGCGTGGAGAAGATGTAATGTGACGTGAGGCAAAGCGAAGCGATGAGTACTCCGGTGTCTAATCACCTCAGCCCAGATGGAGAGCAGCAAATTGGAAATGGCTGGAGCCGTGCAAATGTGGCTATTTTTGCATCTAAACAGGAAAAAACATCCCTACGGCTTCTGATGCCTCTTCTCTGATTGCTGTTGTTACTTCTCTTGCTATAAGAAACCCTTTTCCTGGGTCAAGAGAGGAGGTGGCCATGATGGGCCCTACCCAGCTTTGCTGTGCTTCTATTCACTTGTTAGTTGAAATTTCGGAAACAAACCAGCTTTCCAAGTTGGATTGGCCATCTGAATCTGTCTTTTTTTTTAACTAGATGCCCCAAACCAGATTGACAGTTTGGATCAAGCTGGTTCTACACATTTTAATAGAACTTTCTACATCAAAACAGCGTTATAGATTTGCGTGGAACAGGAATGAACAGGAGCACAAGCGATCTTTAATTTATTCCATACTTTCTGGGCAGTACAAGGCCCACAATTCTGAAGTTGTAAAATAAATTGGATCACTTTAGATTGCAGGATAGAAAGGAGATCAATTGTTGGTTTTCTGTTGATCAGGTCTTAAAGAGGTGGTCCCTACATTTGCAGAGCAAATGTACATTCAGTTAATGTTCATTAATGTTTTGTCTTGGATAAATTCTGCTGTTGGTTAGTTTATATCTCAGTGTATATGCAAAACTAGAAAATGTATTAATTCAGTAACCAATTTAAATATCAGGTATGAATCTAACTTTCATTTTTAGATGTGGGGGTGT